GAAAACCCCCAGCTTCTCTGCTGTGGCAGCCTCAGATCCATGTCYCCATCAGAGCTGACTCTGGACAGCCAGAGCTTGGGAATCCCCCCGTGGATGCAGGGGGGGCTCGCCCACAGCCCCTCCCCACACACAGCCAGCCATGGAKGGTGGAGGCATGCGCCGGCCCTGCCTGTTACTGCTGGCTTGGCACGCGTGGCAGGCGCCTGGCACCCTGCCTGTGCCACCTTCTGCTGCCATGGCTGCCGCTGCCAGCCCGCCCACAGCGCTGGGGAGGGCTGTGCCATGGGAGGGGGCTGCCCTCAAACACTGCTTTTATATTATCGAGGCTGGGGGTGCTTCCCAACCAGGAGAGGTAAATACCGGAGCGTTTTTCCAAGAGAAAAGCTTGAGGAGAGCTGGGGATGTTCAGCCTGGAGAAAAGAAGGCTCCAGKGAGACCTTAGAGCCCCCTTCCAGTGCCAGAACGGGCTCCAAGGGAGCTGGAGAGGTAATTTGGACAAGGGCCTGGAGTGAAGGATAAAGGGGAATGGCTTCCCAKTGCCAGAGGGCAGGGTTAGATGGGATATTGGGGAGAAATTCATCCCTGTGAGGATGGGGGGGCCCTGGCACAGGGTGCCCAGAGAAGCTTTGTCTCCCCCTGGATCCCTGGGAATGTCCAAAACCAGGCTGGACATTGGGATACTGGAAAGCATCCATACCCATGCCTTTAAGGTCTCTTACCCAAACCACTMTGTGATTCCATAATTAATTACTGACAAAGACTGCACAACCCCCAGCTCGGTGCCACCTTTACCTCTCCGAGGTGTCCCCTATTCCTGACAGCAGCTCCTTGATCCTSCGGCCGATCTCAGCAGGGGTCAGCTCCACGTCTGGCTCCTCGGGGCTGCACAGGCCACAGGACACGAGGCGGCCCTTGGCCGACAGGGCCAACAGCTCTGACTCTCCTGTGGGTACAGACAGGGGGGTCAGGGCCAGGAAGGGAGTGGGGACTTCCTGGATGAGTGGAGGGGACAGGGAGAAGGATGGCACTGCCATCAGAGTCATGCTGAACACCCCCTTTTTGGAGGGAGCCCAGGGAATCTGAGAGGGCCAGCCGCCTCCTGCAGTGCCGAGCAGAGGGGCTGGGAATGGGCAGGGAAGAGCAGGAATCCCAGTGCACAGGAATGACTTAAAAGAAACAAGGAGAGCTCACAAAGATGAAGGATGCAGCCCCACCCGGCCCATGTGGAGCACAGAGACAGGAGAGGTGCAACCCCACCCCACTGCTACCARTACCTTCCGAGGCCCGAGAGGACAAAGAAAGAGCCACAACACTACAGATACTGAGGCTGGCCGGGGACAGCACGGGGGGCAGGACGCCGGTGCCACTCTCTGTGTCCTCGGGGTCCGAGGAATCGCCCGCCCAGTCCAGGTCGACGGCAGAGATGTCCGAGTGGGTGCTGTAGTACATGCGGGAGCCGCTGCCGCAGGCCGCGCACAGGATGGGCCCCCGCAGGTAATATTCCCTGAGCTCCGGCACCGTGGCCTCCTCCCGCTGATCCGCCTTCATGGCCACCATCTTCCCGTAGTGGCCCACGGCCACCACGCAGTCACAGCCGGGCTCGCCCGCGGGCTGCTCGTCCTCGGCGTCGTCGTCGGCCGCGCGCCGCTCGGTGCGCAGCGCCCCGATGAACACGATGGGCTCCTCCAGGTGGTGCAGGATCTTCACCGGCGGGGCCGGGGTGGACACGTCGCGGCAGCCATCGGCGGCAGGAGAGGAGCTGAGGGCTTTGAGGGGCACAGAGCAGAGCTGCCCGTCCGGGAAGCCACACAGGATCATGGGCGACTCCAGCATGGCCGCGTCGATGCCGAAGAGGAGGCTGAAGAGGGGCTCCTCCAGCACGAATCCCCCCGAGCACCACAGCCCCTGGGCACCCGGCGCGGCCGCACAGCACAGCACGGGCAGGAAGCAGGAGGGTGGCGCGTCCCCCATGTCCCCGGGAGGGGTCCCGGGGCAGAATTCCACCTGGCTGACCTGCCGGTACGGGGGCCCGTCCTGCTCCGGGCGCGGCAGCTCGTGCAGCCGCATCCACCACTTGCCCTCGTCCTGGGCCAGCGTGATGACGAAGGTGCTGAGCAGGGTGAACATGCTCAGGCTGGCGTCGGGGAAGATGCAGGCGTCCGCTTCCACCGGGAAGACGCCGGTAGGGCCGTTGTTTTCTTGGCCGTCGCCGTCCGTCTGCTCCATTAACCTTTGGGAAAACAGGGAAGAGCTCTGAGCCAAGCCATGGGGAGAAGCCAGCGTGTCCCTTGGCCGCCTCTTTGCCTGGCCCTGGGAAAYGAGCTCCTGCAGGAGAGCTTTTAGCATCGGGAGAGACAGATCCAGAGCCSCACACTCGCCATGGAGGGAAGCCCAGGGACAAGGGGTCACCCCAGGCTCACCTGCTCTGCTGCTCCAGGGACACGCAGTAGATCCCGCTGTGGGCGCACAGGATGTAGAGCTGCCGRGGCTGGGGCAGCAGCTCCACGTGCCACACCTGCTCAGGGCAGCGGAACACGGCCTGGGAGCGGGGACAGAACCAAATGTCACCTCCCACGGCACCCGCAGGGGTGGCAGGGAGGAGGCGGCTCCCCACAGGGGGGATCCAAAGAGATTTCCAGGGATAAACGGATCCCTGGGCAGACCCAGCTGGGTGTTCCTGGGCGGGGGGTTGGGAGAGGGGCTGTGGCAGCCTGTCATTCCCGCTCCCTGAGGGGAAGGAAAACAGGGAGCAGGGTACGTGCTCTACTTTGCCGAGCGGGAGCGCAGTGTGGGAGGCAGATCCCGCTCTTACAGCGGTGCATTTCTTAGAAATGGTAATCAGAACAAATTAACAAAGGCAGCAGCGTGTCAGTCAGGGCGCTGTGACAGCGGGGACAGCGACCAGGCTTGGGGGAGAGGGGAGAGAAACCCCTGTGCTGGAGGGAACGAGCCTGKGGAGTCTGATCCGATGTGTGTCCTGCAGGACTGGGAGAGGGGACAGMTGGCAGCACCCCTGAACCCCAAAGKGCCAGGAGAGGGGTGCTGCTTGTGGGGCTCATTTGCTGGAGGGAATCCAGGGATAGGGTGCAGGGACATGACTGGAGGGTGTCCCCACCGTGCCACGGGACGCTGTCCCTATGGGATGGGGGACACCGGGTGAGCCCCCACCCCCCGAGCCCCTCACCTTGAGCACTTTGCCCTCCTGGTCGTACACGTAGACGAACTCGGTGCCGTTGGAGAGGTAGATCTCGTTCTCATGGCACAGCACCCGTGGCTTGGCTGCCACCAGCCCCCCCACCGGGCAGCAGAATCCGGCCAGGTAGTCCACCCTGTGCCCCACCTGTGCCATGGTGCCGGCTTGGGGGCGTGGAGAGGGGCACGGGGACAGGCTGAGCCCGGAGCCCTGAGCTGGGGGCAATGCATGGTGACACACACACACACCCATGTCCCGGTCACAGCCCCACAGCACATGTCTTGACCCCCATCTCCCCCCCTCCTGAACCTCACAACCCCCCCAATCGCAGCCCGAGACCTCA